GGGGGGGGAAGAGAAGAATAATGACTCTTACCTTGCTGTGCTCTGCTTGGAACACTGAAATGTGAACCCTCAGCAATCTCTGCTGGAAATACCTGGCAGATTTTCTCCTCAAGACTCCTGATATCTGCAGATCTATCTGATTTGGTTGGTTTTAGAAGGATGAAGGTAAACTCTAGAGCTCCTTTTTTTTTTTTTGAGGGCAGGAGATATGGGGCAGAACGGTCAGTAGCCTGGTTGCAATTAAACACTCAATGATTAGCAAATCACAGACTCTGGTTTCTCCAAGAAAAAGGCATCTTCTGGTCCCTGCCCTAAAATCATCAGGTGCTTGAACTCCCCTCGTTCAGTTCAAAGTCCGGCTAACGCAGCCCAGCTGAGACCTGTGTGTGTGAAGACCTGAGGCTTTTAATTTACTGAATGGAGAGGGACTGATGCTCAGAGCATCCTGACTGGCTGAGGAGTTGGGTGCTTTGTGCTCTGGGTTCACACTGGCTGATTTCAAAACAAAAAGCTTGAAGTAAGAAGTTGGTTTAGTGGTTGTCTGGCTCGTAAAGGTTTTGTGAGAGGGTGGCTCTGGGTTTGTGCCTCAGGTAGAGGGGTGGTGCTGCCATCCTCTGTGTTGGGGGCTCAGGCAGCTGCTGGTGTAAGGTGCTGCTGTGAAAATAAAACGTTTGTAAGATCTCTGCTCCTACTTTGAGCTGGGAAATGAGGTTATTCCTTGTTAGCACTTTTGCTGTAGGTAAATAGAGCCGGGTCTGGCCCTTTGAAGTGAAGATGCAACCTCAGGGAGGTGAGAGGAATTAAGGAAATGACGCTGCCCTCCCTGCCAAGTTTCTTCTGAAATTCAGCGTCTCGGTTTCCAAATCAAACCATCTTGGCTGTGGCTGGGTGACAGAAAATCCCCATCCCGGGCAGGAGGTTTCAGACCCCGCGTCCCAGCTCTCTGGGCGCGAGGGGGACCTGGCAGCTGCACAGCTCCGGCTGGGAGCGTTGCTTTGGCAGTTCCTACCCTCAGCAAATTAAGAGCAAGTAACGAGGGGTTACGGGGTGAGAGCGAACCTCTTTCCTCTAATAGCATTTTCGTATGTATTGGGTGGCTGGAAGCAAAGCAGAGGTGGATGGTGGGAGTTGAACTGTACAACCCCCCAGCACTTCTGCCTGGAGTGAATCTTGGAGTTAAACGTGCAGCAGGAAGAGGAATCTCGGGGTTTTATTATTCTAGCTCTGCTGGTTCCTCAAATCATAAATTCTTATGGGCAAGCGTTACCTTGGTTTTAGAGAGATCAGAGTGCACTTGGCGCTGTTAATAATAGTCCAGCAAGTGTTTACCCAAGGCTTCCCTATTCACATTTAACAAATACAGGATAAGCTCATAATAAACCAGCCCGTACTTTATTACAGAAGTTCTACAGTCAAAGATAATTTAGTATTCAAGAATTCCAAGCACTATATTAACAAATATACATCGCTTCAGAGATGCAAACTCTCTTTAGCCTGAACTGTACAAACACAAATAATAGATCCTTAGCACTTCTTTTTACAGCCTTGGAAAGAAACAGGGCAAAAACTGTTGGTGAGCCGAAAGAAATTTGTGAAGTAGATTGCTTCAGGTCCCGAGCTCTTTGGGGAAAGCGTGATGTTTTCCTCTAGGGTTTAGCTCTGGTGTCTCTGTACATCTCCTCGTGCCTTTGCAGCAGGTGGTGAGCACAGAAATCTGCCTTTGTGCAGAGTTTGGTGTTTTGTTTTGTTTTTTTTTTTTTCACGTTGTGGTCTGAATTTCATGCTCTGTACACAGCCAGGGGCCGAGGCCACCTGGAGCAGCAGAGGTGTCCCCAGGAGCGAGCAGCACGGGAGCCCTTCCCCACGCGTGTGTCACGAGATGGCACTACAGGACAAAATTCTCCCCGTCCTGCTAAAATTTGGACAGAAAATCCGCTGCCGGGAGACAGAGAGGAGCATTGGGGTAACCCAGGGGCTGGTGAGGTGGAGAGCCAGGGCTTAAAGCCAAGAAATCTTCATAGCCACTGGGGGTTCAGGGCTTTGCCGCCTGCCCCACGGCAGCAGCGTCCCCGGGGAGTGTTGCGGAAGCTCAGTGTGCTTTGAGGGGAAATAGGATTAATGGTTTGGAGAAACGGGGCCCGGCTCAGTAGGACGGTGGCTCTTCCCTTTCCAGAAGGGCTTTGTGCTGACGAGCAAGTTGAAGCTCCGGTAAGGGAAGCAGAAGGATCCAGAGTAGATGAACTTTGCCCCTTTACCCTGTTCTATTACACTCCAAAAAGTGAGTTACGCTCAGAAATGCTGTGAAATAAAAATGGCAAAAATCAGTGCTCGTCGCAGCTGCCAGAAAAAGACCCTTTGAGAACGTTTTCTGTCTACTGTCCTATGTTTCAGTTGCCTCCTTCCTGGCTACGTTTTTTTCTAGCCCTGCAGTCTGGGGTTCCTCTCCTCCTCACATTGTCCTTCGTGCTCAGCAGAGCGTGTTTCGGAGAGTGACCCGTTGGATTTGCTTCTATGGGTTTGTTAACAAACAAAGAGCAAATCCTGGTTTAGCTGAAAGCCTCCCAGGTAGTTCACAGCAGGTATCTTTTCTCAGCCTGCACGCTAAATACAAACAGGACGTTCTTCTCGCCCCCTTTCCGTTCCTTCCTTCAGCAGGTGTTGGGCTTGGGGCCCCTCTCCCTTCCCGTTGCTTTTATCTGTTACCCCTTGGGGTTTTTCTATAGGTATGTCCCTGGGCTGAGGTCCTCTGCTTTCCCAGCAGACTCCACACTCTCCAGAGAAGGCTCGGGGGATGCAGAAGAAGCATCATCGAGGTTAAACTTTGAGACAATCCTGGCGGTTTCCTGCGTGATCTCAAAATGTTTGAGCTGCTGTCTCCCTCCTGAGCGGTGCTTGAGTGTGTTTGTGTCGGGCGAGCTGTTCCCTCTCCTCGTGCTCTCCTCTGGGGTGTCCTTTGTCACAGAGCTGCCGTCGGCAGGGTTGCCTTCTGCACCAGGCTCCATTGCCACGTTGACTAACGTGGTAGTCCTCAAGGGCAAACTGGAAGACTTGGGAATGACCGGTTTTGTTTTTGCCTGTGCTCGAATATATTTTACAGGTTGTCGGCTGAAATGGCACCGGGGCTGGGTCCCCAGGACCGTGTCCGAGTCACCGTCTGTCTTTTCCTGCACAGAGTCCTCCGGGTCCTCCAGCTCAGAGCCAACACTTGTACTCACCTCTGAACAAAAAAAAAAATAATTAGACAGTTATCTTAGAACAGTGAGACAAGGTTCCTCCGACAAACAGCTTTGGCTGATGACTGTTCTTCCTGTTAGGAAGAAGTGAGCAGGCTAAAACGCCTCCCTCTAACAGCTTCGTTAATCAGGGGCAATCACAAGATACGCGTTCGAAAGAGGTCTAAGAGATGAGTCAGGTTTATATTCTTAAAGCTGGGAGAGCTGGCAGGTGGCTGCAGGCTCAAGGGCTGGAGCCACGGTGGGGAAAAGCCCTTGGTGGGCTGCAGAGAACGTGCTTGTGATTTCACCCCAGCTACGTGGCGGATGCTCTGCAGCAGCTGCTCTGCACGAAGACCGAGCAGCGACACCGGGAAGGGCCCGGCTTACTGAGGCAGGCAAGGGGAGTGGGAACCCGCAAACGTGGTACGAGACAACCTGTAAGAGCATCACCATCACCCGCTGCATTTACCTGGAGCATCCGCGCTTAACGGACTGTGGGCTCCCTCCAGAGTCAGCTCACTGATGGCTTCCCTGGAAGACGCGTTATCGGAGACACAGTCCACGCTTAAACCATGCTTGGAGGGGAAATTCTGTTGGAAAAAGCCGTGAGTGTTTATACAGGACTCTTGTTTGTCGTGAAGATACTGTCAACTCCCACTTCACCCCAACTGCCGTTAGAGCCGAGTGAATGAAGGCAACAGCTTGAGCTGAAAGTGCCTTGATTTCCCTTAGATCGTCCGTAACACTGCGGGGAGTCGGGAAGGAGCTTGCAGAAGGTCCCAGGGCAGGGCCCTGAGAGCAGAATTACAGTTCAAGACCTGCCGGCTCCAGCATCCCTGCTGGCAGACCGCAGCAGCCCCAAAACTTCTCCCAGAAAGCAGCAGCCGCGTTCTGCGGATTCCCGTGGCCTGCGGGGAGCTGAGGGAGCCCATTTCAGAACAAAAAAGGGGAAAAGTCAGAAACCAAGCTGTGAACTGGTAATTATGGTCAAATGCACATGGGAGGATGAGTGGAGGACACGGGAACGCCTGGGAGTTGTCGTTGGTTTGGAATCCGGGTGAGTGTGCACAGGGTCACCGGGGCGGGGGCTCCAGAGGGGTTTTATTAGTGGCAAAACAAAAGTGCCTTTAGAAGCAACTCCCCTTTTTTAAGGGTTTGCGACCCCTTCTGCAGAATTCAGTCGTGCTGCAGAAGCAGGCAAAACCGGCTTGGGAACCAGTCAAAGGCAAGGGTTGTGTGTACCTCCAACAGTGCTTTCTGTGAGGGTTCATTCATCCTCCAGGATTTCTGCACGCAATTGTGTCTACCCTGGGGATTTTATTTAACCTGTAACCGCGGTTATTCTAATTTCTGCTTCCCCAGCGAGCAGGCCCTGCCAGGGAGGCAGCGTTACTCTGTCAGACATGGGTGGGGTCATCACAAGACACTTGGTCTTGCACATAAGCACCCATGACTCAAAAGCAGGAGCAGAGAATCCCCGAACCCAGATCTCCCTCCCTTTGGCTTAACTTTAGGAAAGTTATTTCTTCTTTCTTGCTCATCAAACCTGCTGTGAAAACGCAAAAAAAAAACAAACCCAAACCCCAACCATGTCCCAGCTCAGGGATGCCATGCCCGTTTTTGTTCTTAAAGTGCTGTGAAATGGGTTGTGAAATGTTGTGAGGAAAGAGCCGTGGAGCTTGGGAAGGATGGAGAACACTCAGTAGCAAGGCAAGGAAAAACCAAGGGCCTGTGGCCACTGCTCGGGGATGCAGCAGAGCCCCGTGGGGCGGCACGGGGCGGGGGGGTCTGCGGGCTCTGAAGTGCATGTAGCTGCTTCCGAAGTTGTGGAAGCAGTTTAATACGGAGAAACCCCCCGATCTCTCAGAATGTCTGGTATCTAAAACGCGGAGCAAAACCGTCACCCAGATTGGTCTGAGAAGCTGCTGAGTGATCTGTGACTTATAAGTTTTGCTGTTTCTCCCACTCCACGTGCAATAGGCCCTCTGCTCCTTCCTCTCGGAATAACCCTCTGATAGGAAACGGCTTTGTTATCTGTGAAAAAAGTTCTCTTTAATCACTAGGGTCAGTCTCTACAGCAGGGTCAGTAAGCCAAGCTCAGTGTCTGGGAGCTCTACCTCTAGAGTTATAGTCTGGGCTGTGTTTGGGCTCTGAGGTCCTTCATCCTTTTCTGTCGATGCTTCTTGCGAAGGGTTTTCACATCCGAGGGATAAGGATGAGGGCAGGTCATCCATCCCAAACACCCTTTCGTAGTTCTGAATGAGAAACTCCACGATCTGGGCTTGATACCCAGAGTCAACAAGGCACGACATTGAGACATCGCTCCCTGAGCCTGGCCGGATCAGGGTTGGCCCAAATACTATGCCCAGGTTGTTTGGGGACATCTTGTTCTCTTCGTATTTCTCTGCCACCCTGGGGAAGGGAAACAGGACTGTTAGGGGCTTCCCAGCTCGCAACCCCGATGCACCGAGTGCACCAAAACCCCCGTTTCTTAGCAGAGAGAACCCCCCATCTTTTTACGGGGGACAGAGCTCTGGTCTGCGCAGAGAAACTCCAGAGGAAAATCTCAGAAGCTGCCCGGGTCTGTCTGGATGGCGCAGCCCTAAGGAGAGCGGCTGTTTCTTGCGACCTGCGCTCAGAGCCAGGTGAAAGAGGGTTTGAGCCACCTCCTTCCCCACCGTCTTGCTCTGCGCTTTATGAAGCGTTATCAGTAAGGACCTTCTGGTCCTCCTCAGTCACTAAGGCTTTAAATTACTGCGAGATGGTCCCCGGCGCTGAGCGGGGGGACAGCCAGCACGCTCCTCACCTGTACAAGTGTGCGACGAGGTGCCGCAGAGTGTTGTAGTTGCTTCCAGGCAATTTGCTCAGCAAGTCCTTCATGCTCTGGATGGGATCAGAAGGGAAGCCGGCGCAGTCTAATTTTTCTTCCCCGGGTTTTTGCAAATCTTTGGCGAGCGCAATGAGATCGTTGTAGAGCTGGGACAGCAGCACCGGTGCCGAAAGCTGCAGCGAGAGGGGAGGAAAACAGCGCGTTACTTCATCCTGCTGCCCTGGCACTGAGGAACGAGGTGGGCTGAGACCTGCCCTCCCGGCAGAGGTTTGGTACCCACCTCCTTCAGGAAATGCTTCAGGACGCCAGTGATGTCGTGGGGGGAGTGCTCGGAGAGCTCCACCAGGCTCCGTCCGTTCTCGAACGCCTGGCACAGCTTCTCCACCCGGGCTTTGGAGCCACTTATCCGATAGATCCCCTGCGTGGTTCAGAGCGGGAGAGGTCAGGAGCTCTGGATACAGAGAAGAGAAGATCAAAGCAAGAACAACCAAGGACTCACCTGCACCCCGAGGGCACGGGCTTCGATTTCGGAGGTGCATTTCACCACTATGAAGGGAACTTCCTCCGGGAAATCCCGAGGAACCTGAGTGAAGTCAATGCCAAAAAGAGGGACTCGGTTGGGCAGCTTCTTGTGGCCGCAGGTGATGAGCAGGTTCTCGAGACATTTCTTGTGGCAGGCCAGGCAGCACTGAAAAATAACCCAAATTATGGTCTGGTTGTGGTCCAGCACAGGCCCAACAACTCCTGTTCCCTCAACCACTAGAGTCCCACCAACCCCAGGGGGGTTGTTTTGGGCAAGTGGCTGCTCAAAGCCAGAAAAACACGCTTGGTGTAATGCAGAGGAAGAAAAAGCCCAGAACTTTGGAGAGGGGCCCCCTCGTCCCTAGCCCTCACCTCCTCGCACTCGAAGCCGCTGACCATGAAGGTGTCGCACTCCCTGCACTTGGACGGTCCCCGCAGCTTCCGAAGCCGGTGGGTCTGCGCCGCGCTGGAGAGGAGGATGTTCCTAAACTGCTGCTGGGACGTACCATTTTCTGCCGAAACAGCGTTAAAGCGTGAAAAGGAGCAGAGACGTGCGTGTGGTTTCCACCTAGCGAGTCACGTGTGTGTGTGTGTGTGTGTGTGTGTGTGTGTGTGTGAAATGCTGGGGTTTCAACCCCCAGCCCCAAATTAAGGTTGACATGTGGGTGATTCCCACAGCCCTTCCCAAAGGGGGGTGAGTTTGCCTTTAGGCTTCCCCCCAGGGGGGGCGGCCTGGCAGACAGAGCCGTTGGGTAAAGGAGCCCCAGGGGTCCCGCAGTCAGTAACCCAAGGTCAGGTGTCCCAGCAGGGATAAAGGCTGGGACCCCTTGCAGGAGTCTGTCTGTGAGGTGGATGCATTTTGCAGAGTTCCCTGTTGGGGAAGGGCCTCCCGCCTCCCTGGGACTGGGCTCCACTCAGGTCTGGCTTTTGTAAACGCGGGCTGTGTGGAGATTCAGTGTGTGGCTTCCTTGGTCTGATGTGTTTGGCGTGTTGACTGGGTTGTCTCCCATCCCTTCTGTGGGAAACTGCATGTCACCATTTATCCCACCCGTTGTCGGCCGTGCGGTGTCGTTGTTGGGGTCAGTGGGATTGATGTCGGTGATGTATCATCTGACTTGTTTGTACCCCCAGCGCTCACCCATGGACTGACCCTTTTGTATCAAATTCAATTTGGTTATTGGTTCATCTTTCCGCTGGCTCTGTCCTTTATGCTACGCCTCATAATTGGCAAAACCGCGTGTCTCACCGTTTTCAAAAGTTTGCAGTGAATCTCTCTCTTCAAAATCATCTGAGGACGACATGGTGCCGGTGGATGAAGCTTTCAACAATTTCCTGTTAGAGTTTCCTTGAGGAAAAGAGAAAAATCTCGTCCTCACGATGCACAAAGTGGGTCAGCGTAGACGCCAGTCCCATTTGTAGGGTTTGAGGCAATATTAGGGAAGAATTTCTGCCGCTCTTACCTGGGCTGGAATTGGGAGAGTCCAGGGACCGGGATTCACAACTCCCCCCCAGGCTTTCTGTGTCGCTGCAGAGGGATTTGTTCGCACCTGCGGGAGGTGGATACGGTGTCAGACCAGCCCGAGGGCTCTTGGGATGCTTCAGCACAGGGCTGGAGTCCAAACCAAGCTCCCAAGAACATTCCGTAAAAACTTGTCAATATTTTTCTCCCAGTCTGAGCAAAGCTTTAAGCACTGCCCTAAGAATCTGAGACCTATCCCACCTCTGGCTACTAATCTAAATTAAACTACAGTGGCTCAGGAGAAAATGGGGTCGTTCTTATTAAATTCAACCTACTCTGTTCGCCGTTTGGGGAGAACTGCTTTCTGGACGTGTCTTCTGGCGTGCTCACATCCTTTGCTGCAGAGGAGGGTCCTGTGGACTGCAGCACCATCTTCTTTTTGCTGCTGGGAGGGGACCTGAGGAGGAGTTGCAAACAATTTTCCAGCAGCAGAGAGTAACGGACAAGAGTGCATCACCGAGGTGCCTCGCGGGTACCTGCGGCAAAGCGTCTGTTTCGGTGTAAGCTCACGGGTGTAAGCTGAGTTTTCCAGGGGACTACAATCATGCACAAAACTAGGGCAACAAATCTGTTCAATACAATTTCACCTCTTTCTACCCGCAGGGAAAATTTAGAAGTCGGGCAGCACCCATGTGAGAAAGGAGCCATCCGAATCTTTGGCAAATGATAGAAACAACTGCAGGGAGGTGGGAGGAAACTGCCGCCCTCCTTTCACTGATGTTGGTCCCGCGCTCAGCAGAAGGACCCAAGCGCATCTCCAGGGGTTTCTCCTCCGGTAGGGGAGCGACGTGCAGAGAAAGCCCCAAGAGCTGAGCCTGTGGGTTTTTCTGTACTCCGGAATTACACGCTGCAGCGTTGCTAGGGACTTCCTAAACGTGTTTTAAACACTTCTGTTGTTCTGTGCGCTGTGGATTTCTGACCTTTCAGCGAAGATGTGAGTTTTCCACTTTTTTTTTTTTTTTTTTTTTTTTTACCTCTGCCCTCCGGAAGCGAGTGGTTCGAATTCAAACACTTCCATAGGAATGTCTTTCTTCTGCAGAGCCTGAATGAATTCCAGGTATTTCTCGCCCGCTTTGTACGGCTTGCAGACCTCTGCCAGGTACTGGTATCCCACTGGAATCTGTTCTGACTGACTCTGCCGCTGCTTGAACATCCTTAACGTGACCTTATGGGGAAAGAAAACAAAAAAACCTTCATTGCTAGTGAAAGTCCAGGGTGCTTTTCCCTCCCTTGGATCTCAGTCATTCACCAGTTTTCAGTTTTTCATTAACCAACTCAATTACCAGCACTTGTGCTTATGGATGATTCTACTTAACAGGTTGGATAAAAATTATGTCACTGTTTCTTGTTCTAGGATTTTTTTTCCCCTCTTTTCTATGGATATTTGTGTTCTCAAAGCATTAGTAATTGAAAATGGGATTATGTATCTGAGGTGTTTTGGTAGCAAAATCCAGAGCGCTCCCCTGACTTCAACTACTTGAGAATGGTCAGTTGTAGGGTGGTTCAGCAGTGAAGAGCCTAGAGGTCTTATCCCAAAGAGCAGTTTCCCCAAAACGAGGATTAGAGGAGAAATTATAAGGCCACACGTACCCACGTCAGCACCTCATCCCCTTGGTAAATGAGCTTCCGGATATGGGAGACGATCCGCGCCCGCACTTTCTCCAGCTCTTGTCGCCGAAAGTTGGCATCGCTGATGCACATCTTGTACAAAGCTTCTGTTTCCTGGACCTGAGCACGACCAGAAATGGAGCAAAGGAGGAAAAAGTCACGGGATGGGTGGGAAGATGCCGTCAGAGGGTGTGTGGGATTTCACAGAATCCCAGAATCATCCGGGTTGGAAAAGCCCTTGAAGCTCCTCCAGTGCCACCATGACCCTCACCCTGACCCTTCCCAACTCCCCCAGATCCCCCAGCGCTGGGTCACCCCGACTCTCCAACCCCCCCAGGGATCCCAGGGACTCCCCCCTGCCCTGGGCAGCCCATTCCAACGCCCAACAGCCCCTTCTGCACAGAAATCCTTCCTCAGAGCCAGCCTGACCCTGCCCTGGGCAGCTTGAGGCCATTCCCTCGGGGCCTGGCGCTGGGGCCTTGGCTCCAGAGACTCATCCCCCCTCTCTGCCCCCTCCTGGCAGGGAGTTGCCGAGGGCCAGGAGGTCTCCCCTCAGCCTCCTCTTCTCCAGACTGAACCCCCCCAGTTCCCCCAGCCGCTCCCCAGTTCATAAGCCTCAGACATGATCTCCACTATACACTTTCTCTAAACTCGAGGCTCCCAGCATTTCCATTCTCTACGGGGATGGCTGGAAACGCCAGCAGCCGGCTCTGGCTGAGCTCCTCGCCTTGGCTTGCGCCTCCTCGCAGGAACGGCGCCGCTTCTCCAGCTGCTTGTTGGCGCTGCCGGGGTTGGCGGCGGCCGCGCTCTGATATTCATCCTCTGCCTTGGCACTCAGGTGCTTTGCTTTCTCCAGCTCCTCGCAGCGCTGTAGGTACTGCAGGCGGGACTTGCGCAGGGATGACAAGGATTCGTTCTGGAATAGGAAAAGGTTTAGGAAGGCTGGCGAAGCAGCAGGAGGAACAAGTCACAGCAGCGCTCCGCTTCCAAGGACAGTGCCTGTCTCCTGGTTCCCGTGGATATTGTCGTTCAGACGGCTTCACGCAGGGCAAATCAGCCCGGAGAAATTTGGTGGCCTTCTACAAGGGGGTTACGGCGTTGGTGGATAAAGGGAGAGCAACTGGTGTCATCTGCCTGGACTCGTGCAAAGCATCTGACACTGTCCCACGTGACATCCTTGTCTCGAAATTGAAGACGTGGGTTTGGTGGACAGGCCACTCGGTGGGTCAGGGGCCGGCTGGGTGGTGGCACTCAAAGAGTTGGGGTCAGTGGCTTGATGTCCAGTGACCAGTGGTGTCCTCAGGGGTTGGGGTTGGGACCGGCGCTGTTTAACATCTTTGTTGGGGACATGGACTGGGACACTCTCGGCGAGCTGGCCCACGACACCGAGCTGTGTGGTATGGTCACACGCTGGAGAGGGGGGACGTGCCGACTTCGTGGAGTTCAACAAGGTCAAGTGCAAGGTCCTGCCCATGGGTTGGGGCAATCCCAAGCACAAATCCAGGCTGGGTGAGGAGTGGCTGGAGAGCAGCCCCAAGGAGGAGGACTTGGGGGTGTTGGTGGGTGGAAAACTGCCTGTGAGCCAGCGACGTGCACCCACAGCCCAGGAAGGCCCCATGTGCTGGGCTGCACCCAGAGCAGGGTGGGCACAGGGCGAGGGGGGGGATTCTCCCCGTCTGCTCCGCTCTGTGAGACCCCCCAGCAGGGCTGGGTCCGGCTCTGGGGCACCAACAGCAGAAGGACACGGACCTGCTCGAGCGGGGCCAGAGGAGGCCACGGAGATGCTCGAGGGGCTGGAGCCCCCCCGTGAGGACAGGCTGGGAGAGTTGGGGGGGTCAGCTGGAGAAGAGAAGGATCCAGGGAGACCTTAGAGCGCCCCCCCAGGGCTGAAAGGGGCTGCGGGAATGGGGGGGGGACACTCCTGCTCAGGGGTGTAGGGATAGGATGAGGGGTGATGGTTTTAACTGAAAGAGGGGAGATTAGATCTGATCCCAGGAAGAAATTCTCCCCTGGGAGGGGGGTGAGGCCCTGGCACAGGGTGCCCAGAGCAGCTGTGGCTGCCCCCTCCCTGGAAGGGTTCAAGGCCAGGTTGGACGGGGCTTTGGGCAACCTGGGCTGGTGGAAGGTGGCCCTGCCCATGGTAGGGGGGTGGGTCTAAATGATCTTTAAGGTCCCTCCAAACCAAACCAGTCTGTGATTCTCTGTCCCTCTCCTCCCAAAGTTCAGGAGCTCTAAGGGAGCCCCCGGGTTTCCCCTACGGCTGTCCTGGGTGAAGGCGTCCAGGAGCACCCTCCTCCCAGCAGGAATCCCTGGCTATAAAGGGCTGTTGGTGGAGTTCTAGCAGAGCGTGTGCAGGTGGGGTTTGGGGAGGGGGCGCAGGCACAGAGACACCACCCCCCGCCTTGCAGGGGATCCCCTTTGGCTGAAGGCAGCTGGAGGGAGCAGGGAGCACGGGCAGGACTCCCCCCGTGCTCGTTCAAAAAGCGCTTCTGTTCAACGGCAGGATGCACATTACGTTATTTAGTTACTGCTTATTCGTAAATGCTTGGGTTTGGTGTTCTAAGCCCATCTATCAGCCTCTTACCATTCTCTTTTGCTCCTTTGTCCACTGATCTTTGAATTCTTTCCTCCACTTCTCAATTTCATTCTTCTTGGCCAACAGAGGCTGCAGAGGAATAATAATCAGGGTGGCAACAGTTCCTCGCGAGGCAGGAAAAAATATCTGACAGCCAAGGGCGTGACATTCAAGAGCAAGCCTTGCGAGATGCCTCTTTTGCCCTTAGACCTGGTGAGCGTTTCCTTCTCCCTTCCCTTCCACCCCCGCAGACCAGGATAAATCACTTCGTGAGGTCTCTGTGATGCTCCCGTCTAATCTTTCAGCAAATTTGTCTTATAGAGTACCTGGTAGAACTCCTTGTGTTGGAGCAATCCTGCAGTCTCACTAGCTGAATTTCCAATCTTTATGTCGTGTTCCAGGACCATCGTATAGAGCGCGCGGAGAGGCATGTTGTACTGAAAAAACAAAAAACAAACAAATAAACAAAAAAAGCAGCCCAATATAAAATGATGGATAATCACCGCAGCTTTCCTACATTTAAAAGCTTTTGGTAGCTATGGCCAAGATCTGTTATAGAAAGGTGAGAGTGTTTACGCTGCTTGGCTTGGTTTTTATTTTTTTCAGACAACACAGCAGGAGGGTTTTATGTGCTGGGCAGCGTTCACAGAAAATCGCAGAAAATCGCAGAATCAACAGGGTTGGAAAGAACCTTCAAGATCATCCAGTCCAACCATTAACCCAGCATTGAGAGCTCCCAACAGTGTTGTGCTGACTCCATCCCTTGCTTTGCTGAATCCTCTAATTTTCCCAACAATTAACTCCATGTTATAAATCCTTGGGGAAAAAAGAAAAGAAAAGAAAAGAAAAGAAAAGAAAAGAAAAGAAAAGAAAAGAAAAGAAAAGAAAAGAAAAGAAAAGAAAAGAAAAGAAAAGAGAAAAACTACTCCAATACTGAGAGATTTAGGAACGGTTTTGGAGGGACATTTGCTGTTGGATTGAAGCTGGAGTTGATACAGAGGAATGATTACTTGTTTTGAGATTTATTTACTTATAGCAAACTGCTTAGCAACTCACTTACTTATAGCAAGTTATAGTATTTAAAAAATATTGCTAAGAGTCCTGCTTGCCCAGACTGTTTGACCAAGGATACCGAGTTCCTCAGAACAAAGCAGTTCGCCGTGAAAATCTACCAAGGATTCCAATGTTCAGCAAAACATTCTACTTTTGGCCTTGAGTAAGGTGGCTCTAACCAGTTGGAATTTTGCTAATGAGTAAGGACAGCCATACACGAGCGGTAGAAGTTCTGTTGGTTCTCTTAGCTGAGATAGAAAGTAAACGCTCTGAAAAACCCTCTTGTTACTCAGCGAATTGGCCAAGAGAATGTGCGCATGCTCCGGGGAAAAAAAAAAAACAAAACAACAAGGTGAGAAAGACTCGGAGCCTTCCTCCCAAAGACCCCCGAAGACGCCCCCCAGGAGGCGATGGGCAGGTGCAAAGATGACATCAACCGGTGACATCAGCCTTTCGAACTAACCCAGCCCCACTCATGCATATGTGTGTTTGTGTGACGTAACCCGATGAATGTGTATCTCCACGCTCTAGAAGTTTCTGGTACAACGTGCGGTGGGGGTGCAAGCTTTGTGGAGAAATCCCCTTGCACCCCGGCCGGAGTAAACATCCCTGCTGTGTGACTCTATTCGAGTTTTTTTCCGTGAATCGGAGTCCGCAGCGGCTCACGTGTGGGGACAGCCTCACGTTTGCTCCGCAGGGCTCCCGCCCCCCCACCCCCCCGTGCTCAGGGACCCCGTGCAGCCAAGCAGGGACGTTGTGAGCGCCAGTACCTGTTGGATGATGGCGTTTCGTCCCGACTCTGCGATCTTCACCATCCCCTTGGCAAACTCTGTCTCTGTAAAAGGGCAGAGTGGGTTAATCCCCACGTTCACGGTCTCAAAGCCAGAGGCCATCCCAGTCAGTTAGGATCGTGCAGGGAAGAAGAAATTCTGACTCTGTGTCTTTATCTGCAGGCAAAAAGCATCTAAAAGAGCTGATCTTTGGCCAGGCTCTCGCTGCTGTAATTCTGCTTGCAACTGTGTGGTTTTAGCTAGGATTTTTTTTTTTTTTTTTAAATTATCTGTGGTGGTGCAATTCTCACCCCTCCCCGCCCCTCCTTGTTGGGCTGCTTGGTGCCGGGTGTGATTCTACCCACATCCCCCGTCCGAGCTGTACCCCCACCTGTGAGATAAGGACTGATTAGGTTAAGGGGAGCCCGGCTCCTGCCCCTCCTGATTGCTCGGCAAGGGTTACACCAGCCCATCATCTCCCGAGGGCCTGGCACAAGTGTGCCTGGGATGGGGTCAGATGGGACAGTAACCCAGCTGCACATTCATCAGGTTCTTGTGCAACTGCTGGAAGGAGCCAGAATAATTAATTTGTGTCTGACCAAAGTCCGTTATATTGGACCCTTCAAACTGCGACCGCCAGGGAGACCCTTTGATCTCTCCTGGATGGCAGCGGCCCGTGACCGGCATCCCCCCTGAGCTGGGAGCCCCTCGGGTACCAAAACCCTCACGGTGCTTCACGGGTCTCAGTTATCACCCGACGAGGGATCCCGACGTTGGGGGTATTTGCTCTGAACTCAAGAGGGAAATTTTCTTTGAGTTGGCTTCTCTTTCACCCATTCCCTCTCTGTTTGTCGGGGTGTGGGTACATACCCTCGTTTCTCCGTGTGTTTTGTCCGTTTTGTGTTCATTCTACCGAACCCACACACCTTTGTTTCTCTGTGTTTGTCCATTTTGTGTATGCAGATGTATATACGGATAAATCAAGGTCCCGTTCAGTAAGTCAGTGTGAATCTTGTCAGTTTAGAATCTGTGAATAAGTCGCTTTCCTTTCTTTCAGCATTTCTGAATTATTACGTAATGATAATTTACCGTTAGTTATTAATAAATCTAGATTTCTGACTAAATCATTACCGGGTCAGTACTTTCATCCGCGACGCTCTCGAAAAGCCAACAGAGTCCCAGCTGGTTCCGTGCACAGACTCACCGTAACTCAGACGTTTTTCAATCCAGCTGAGCAGCTCTTTGACGTATTTGCACCACATCTTGGCATATTCCAGGGCTGCGTCAATGCCGCCTTCACATTTAATCAGCATTTCATCTGCCTCCTGATCTGCAACAGAAGAAATCCGGGTTCAGGACGGCTCTGGCTGGTGGACAGAGGCTCCCCCAAGAGTGGCAAAATTGGAGTCTTAAGAGTTGGTGCTGCAAAATACTCAAATATCAGCCATTAAAAAGGGGTTTTTCACTGAACCATGTCCCTGTGATCTACTCACAGTGACCCCACAAAGTCCTGCCCGTGGAACCACGCAAGTTCCAGGTAATTCAGACATATATATGCCTCTGCCCTCCGCTTCTAATTAAATATTTTTCTTTAATTTGTTTTGAAATCCAGAAGTGAAGGACCTAACGGATTACTGGGGAGTTGCAGGAAGTCTTCTTGTTCCTGGGTAGAACCTAATACAAGTTCATCATTCTGCAGTGAGCAAATCCAAAACCATTTCAAGCTGAAATCTGGGAGAAAGCAGCTTAGAATTTTATGGGTTTTGCTTCTTGGGGACTTTATATGAAAAAAACACAATTTTACATTGCGTTTTATGCGACAAGTACGGAGCTGGTGAGAACCCTCCCAGAGAATAACCAAGTGTTTCAGAGTATCCCAGGTTTCACCGGGTTAAAACCAAGAGCTTTGGGAATTGATGCAGGATTTAGAAACCAAGACCTTGTGAGAAGCTTCTTAAGGAGATGAACAGGGACAGACCCGAGTGCTGGAGGGAGCCGGGGCAATGCTGAGCTCAAACAGGCTCGTCCTTGCTGGGCCGAGCTCAGCCCGAGACCGACACTGGCAGAGACACCAGCATTCTCCCCGCCGTGTCATCAGCCTGCCAGGACCATCACCAGGTGATTGACCAAGGGTTCTCGTCTCACCGCTCATATATATATATATTTTCTTTTTTTAATTAGCAATGTTACCTGTTATGTCTGCCTGCACTTGCCTCTCCAAACTGGTTTTGCTCTTGCAGAAACTTTCACTCAGCTGTGGGGAGGGGAAAGAAAAAGAGAAAATGGTGAAAGAAAAATGAGTATTCGGGAATGTGGAGGATTTTTTTTAAAAAAAAAAAAAAAAAAAAAGGCCAGCTGGAGTGCTGAGTTTGCTTAGCTAAGCATCCCAGTGCAGCTCAAATAGTAGCCTGAGATTTGTCAGAGGGAAGGTAAAAGTCTGCCATGGGCAGAAACACGGAGGCAGAGAGATGAAGGCTGGAAGAGGGCTCCAAAGAGCAGCTCTTATTTTACTATAAGTCATCCTATAAATCGCAAAATATTTGACTTTTATTTTCGAGTTTAGCTCATGGGACAATACGATTACATGAGCACAATTGCTGTCAGAGAAAAATGAAGTTCGAGCCCCTTTGTTTATACAGAAAAACACAAAATGAGGCTGATTATCCCCCAAAGTCCCACGGTGCCCAAAAGCAAGCCAAAAACCATTGAGGTCTATTTTGAAGATCAACCTTAAGGCCAAAATTTTAGGGATTTTTTTTTTTGAAGCATGACTCTCAAATGTATTTTGGGGGTTGCTGTCTTGGCTGATCTTTTTCTTAGCACGCATAACTTTTAAACCAGCAATTTCCACATCTTGTTTTTCAGAAAAATATAAATCCAAACAGTAGATGCCTGAATGTTTCCGCTAAATATTCTCAGCTCTGTTGCCACCTCCATCGCTGGTAGAACCAAGGGGCGTAGAGTTCTTCTCTGGCTATTCAAGTAAGAGCTGTAACTATTTATTTTTTTTTGGGGGATGATCATCCAAAAAACAATTGTAGTAACATGGAATTTAATAAGACAGGATCATGCGCTTTGGCAACGGACATCGATAGTTGTTTTAATAAAATGGATCTCATCCTTTGCCCACCGGAGCGACCTCCTTCTCTGTGGTCAGGTCGGTGTCCTCAGTGCTGTCAGCATCCCCGATGAACATATCCACTGCCCTGTATAATAAAATAAAAAGGCAATAAAAGAAATTGCAGTTCCAAGGACCCAGAGAAGGAGTTCAGCCCCATTTTCTCTACATACGCGTTTCCGATTGAGATTTCTATGGCGTCCAGGCTCCGGAATATCTCACTGTATCGCTTCCTGTTTTCTGGTGTCCTCTCTTGATGGTCAAGACCTGGAGTTGGAGAAGAAATCACGTCACTGAAACCCAAAAGCTCCCCCCGAGGCCAGCAGGATGGTTTCTGGAGGCGCAGGGGAGCGTGGCTGAGCCCTGCGCAGACCCCCAGGGGGGTGACAAATGGCAAAGCACGGCAAGGCGAGGCTGGGAGGGATTCAAAAGGAAACTCTGGGAATGGCAAATTCATTGAGGTTCCTGGGGCAGAATCCCCAGAAAACCCACCTGCAGGTATCCAAGGAAGACATCTAAACTGATTTTAGGGCTTGCAATCAGCCGTGGAGACCTTTATCGCAGCCACTGAGCTGAAGTCGTGCCGCTGCCCTCAGCTCGGCGCTGGCAGCCCCGCCGGGCGGGTCATGGGGTGCAGCAGCGTGCCTGGCACCCCAAAAAAAAAAACCAACCCCAGGCACACTCTGCACAGCCCATGTCAGCAGAGTGGTGTGAGCAGAGAGCAGCAGGCAGTGCTGCAGCGCGCCGGGCCGTGGTGCAGAAGCTGCCTGTTCCTCGCGCATCGCACGCGCACGCGTGTCGCAATATTTCATGTGCAGGGACAGTTTCTCAACATTCTCCCTTCTTATTTATGATGATAATCTCCCTTACGAAATCCTGCACCTCATTCGGTCCCCAGCAGGTACAAATTGTTGGGCGTGTGAAATATAAAATGGGCTTGGCCCTGCTTGAGGGGCAACACGCTCCTGCCACGTGTCCGTCAGGCCGGAGCGTGTTCTGCCCTCAGCTGCACGTGTAGCAGGGTGCAGGCGAGCACACGGGGCTTACACGGGGTCATTAACGCTGTTAATCTCACTTTCCACTCTGTCATGTGTTTGAGGGCTGAAACGAAAAATGACTCAGGCTGAAAGTTGCAGAAAAAAAAAAAAAAAAAGGAAAAAATGTTTTAAAATATGAAACCGGGCACAATTGGTAAAAACAAAAGCAAACTTCACTCTTCTTTGTCCTTTTGACATTCCGGGAAACAGGATGTGGTTGACCTAAATCTAGAGTTGCTTCACCGATAGTCGAGTTTTTGACAGTGAGCAAGTATTTGTAAGTGTTGCTCAAATGATGCTTGGTAGAAAAGTCAGTTTGTGTCTCGGTTTGAGCTGCTCCTGGGCCTTGTCTCACTCCTGAAAAATACCGATTTTTTTTTTTTTTTTTGCAAGTCAGGTTTGGATTAGGTCACCTTCCACCCTTCCAGCCAAAATGGTGCAGAAAAGCACAAGACTGGCTCATCTGTACGAAGGGAGGCTGTAAGCATGTCGGGGTTTTAACTCCGTAAAGATACCAGACAATGTGGAGAGAGTATTAGAATGTACAATGAAGAGAAAGACCGGGAAGGATTAGGGATCTTCTTCCACAAATCTCTTTGTTTGGTGTCAAATAAAAGTGCTCTCTGACACAGTGCCCAAGTGATGAACATCAACCGATCTAACCCCGTCACCACCTTAAAAATAGAAATAGAAATTTAAAAAAAAAAAAAAAAAGGAA